AGCGCCATGCGCTTTGTACGTATTCTTGATAATGGGCATGTCGATCAGTGGATTTCATTTCGGGACGCCGTCAATCGAGAAGGAGATCTCGCAGCAAAAACGAGATGACGATCCATTTGATTATTGGGCAGACATCAGGGTAAGCTTGTTTCCACAGCGAATCCTCGAGCACACAATCCACGCTGATCGTGTGGGTGGAGACAATCAGCCACCGTGCTTCCCTCGTTTCCCGGCCGTTCGTTGTTTCACCGCTTTAAAAGTGGGGGCGCGCTCATGAGGCCCCACAAAAGTTGACATTTCAAAAGGAAACCGGTTTTCTCGCCGAAAATTCGAATCTTTGTCCTGTTTGCAGCTCTCAGCGGACCTAGAACCAGTCATTTCTCCAAAAGGCTTTCGACGTTTCTGAGACGCGAGTAGAATAGTAACGAGCCAGAGTCATTTCATTCTCAAGGGGTTGCCAACAAGTTCGATTTCGTCGCTGGAATCAAAGCAGAGCTGGAGTAAAAAGTTTCTGGCAGTTCATGGCACGCAAAACCCCTGGGCGTGTGGAGAACCCTTGGCGGCTTAAGCCACGCTCTGATAATCTAACAAGTGTACAGTCTGAGCTCAAGCTCCAGTCCAGAGACGCTTGTTGACTGTCTCCAGCGATAGAAATGGTCCTATCAGTAGCCCTCTTTCTAGCTGCCCATGAAGCCATCCCCTTGAAATTTCTGCTCCAGCATTTTCTATGTTTACTATGTTCAGGGCTTCTACCGCACCACAATCCTCACAGTGGATTACTCGGGTGCTTTCTCTGGTCTGTTGCTGTTTGCCACCAGTCGTCTCCGGCCAGGGACGAAATCTTTGAACGCTCTCTTCTTGTTACCGATGATGATGGTAAGACCTGAAGTTGTGTAGTGTTTCTACTTGGTTTCTACTTGGTACTGTTCTCAATGAATTTATTAAACTCTTCAGCTTGTTCCCACGCTGATGACAATCCTCCGGAACGGATGCGAAGGTCATGTGGCAGACCAGCAACCTGCTTATACAGTATATGCCTCCACAGGTTTGTCACTTGGTCTTCTCATAGTCTGGAATGTTTTATAGCAGCGATTGTGGCTTTGCTTTGAAAATTGCTGTGACTCCGACTTTACCACCATTCCAATGAGCTGATTCTGTTCTTCAATTTCTCCCTCTTTCCGTTGGATATCTATTGGTCCGTTTAGATGAGACGATATCGTTTGATCTGCTGCCGGTGTGTTTTGCTACAAGCAGAGTTGGCTCACTTTGGGCAATTGTCTATTATACAGCTCAGTTCTTGTACACCTCCTTAGGACCGATGGTTTGTGCAGAATTGTTCTTGCAATGAAAATATTGGAAATCCTTCCGTTCTTTTCAGATTATTTACGTGTCTTTCATCTATCAGTCTTTCGTCGATGACGTACCAACCGTCCAAAATTTTGCTTCACTTTTCTTTGCCTTAATCGTCACCGTATTTGCCGCGCCATCAGTCTTGCTCTACATGCCGGTTGGTGTTTTGACGATTTTGTTGAATTTTCTAGAACAATTTTTTCGAATTTTTCAATTCAAATTTTGCGGAGCCTTCTCATAGTCCAAATGTAGTGAACATTATCGTATTTTTGGGAATAAGGCGCACTTGTGGCATGGTTGGGAAGCCCGAAAAGTTTCTAAGCACAGCAATAGTTCCTTCTATTACTTGCAGTTCCTGGTCTTCTGATTTCCTCCAAAACTTATTACTAAAAATAGATCCTTCATATATGTAGGCAAGGCAAACAATAAATATGCTCCGAGGCGTTCCATGCCTCGGAAAACATGGCAGCCACTGGAAACTCAGAAAAGATCCCTTGAAAAGCTTACCGAGTCAAATGTCATTTCAGTGTCCAGCACACTTTGACCTGAAATATAATACAGCGAATTCAGACTCCATAATCTGACCACCTGCCCCTCCTCTCCTTTCAGTCGCACCTTTCTCGTGAAATCCTGGCGCTGCTAGGGGTCCTTTGAGTGAGAATCAGTATTCATCCAACTGCTGCCTTGAATAAGCTTAAGCGAGCCACTCAACACGAGTGGCCGGATATCATTTTGACGGTCACAAAACATGGTGGTCACCTTTTCCAACTTCAAATCAGTAAATACTTTTTTGATCCCAGAAAGAGCCAGGGGCTGTATTCTGTAACATTTTTCAAGACATCGGAATGACAAGGTGTTGCAAAGAGAGAGGAGGGGAAATGATGGGGCAGGGGCAGGCGCGTGGATGGGCTGAACCAAGACCTCTTGACGGAAGCATGCCCTGCCACTGGGCTGGCAAAAAGTAAGCCTTTTGTTATTTTTCTAGGCTCTTCGAGCTTTTCGAGTAGTTTCTTAATGGACACGCTCTGATTCGCTGCTGAACTTTGGTCATGTGGCGGAAGCGGATTGTGGAAGGGAGGGACACGCGCTCTGGTTTGAGCGGGCCAATTCTTTGGTCGAGGCACAAGTTTTTTGAAAAGGAGCTAGCCCCAGAATATTGAAAGCGCAATATTTCTCGTAATTGCGTTCATAAAAACAAATTAAAGAAAAGCGAATAAGAAGTCGTTTTGAGAGAAGAAAAATATTTGGCGTGAGAACGCGCGCTCGCTTCGAGGGGACGAGCCGCGAGGGGGTACATTTTGTACCTTCCTGCTTTACTCGTTCCGGTTCACAATGTCCGCTCTGGTGAGACCTGTGAACTCTTGTGAAGCTGTACAAGCTCGTCTAGCCACTATAGTAAAACCCGTCAACTCTTGTCTTGCTGATAAAAGAGCTCTATAGATGGCTCGGAGTGCAAAATGCCCCCGTCGCCGAACTGCGCCGAGAAATCTTACACATTTACCATCGAAACTAAGATTCAGTCTGTCTGATGAATGCCTACTTCCAAATATCCGCCTACGCCGTAATAGGCAATTTTCAGTTGGGTACGAAGATTACCACATTGTTCCGCTACACGTCGCAATCGTCAATCGTTCAAATATTGTGCTATATCGTCATCTATTTTGTATACGGTAAGAGAGTTCTTCTTCTCTTTCCCTAGTTTTGATCTTTCCTTTTCTAAAAACCGCTCTGGTTCTTAGCTCTAATCGCTTCGCTGTTTAGGTTGGCAAACTATCGAATCTGACATTTTGACGACGACTGATTTGAGTACTGTGTCTCTTCTACAGTACCTTATACGTCCCACCAGTCCTATATACACTGTGCTGTTGTTCACTCTTGTCCCTGCTTTGCTATGTGTGAGTTCAAGTTTATTTTGAGTTGCTTTTCTGATGGATACAGTCATTATCCCTGCAAATGGTAGGACGTGTAACGAAGGCGTAGTTTGGAGCACTGCCAGGGCTGCCTTTCCATCAATGATGCCATCCTGAATCCGCGGCTATTGGTGGGAAAAGCTGTTCTGGCCTTGATCCAACTCACGCCCCCTCACACGCCCTATTGTTTGCAGGAATCATGACTATAGCTCTTTCCTGCTTCCATTCCTCACTTACTGAGGTTCGGGTGAAACCTCAAATTGACTACGAATCCATTTTTTTTGTTGTCAGCGCAAGTGTCGTAGGGTCAAACAGACGCGTAAGATGGCGGTTAGGCTACCCCAGACAAGGGTTTCTAACCAGATCTGCCACTGTAAACGGACTCTGATATAAAATTAGTTCAGTTTTCCAAAATTGGAGGACTAATGTGTAACACCACCATTTTTCGAACAGCTGTGGTAGACCTAGAGTTATCACCCGCAGTATTCAAAAGCACCAGCGCGTCCAAAATTGGTGACTTATACGACTCGCATACTGACGAATGGGTGGTAATGAACATAAGAGTAGGAAAAAGCAGAAAAAATCCGTCGGAAGTCCCAGAACATCATGCAGAACCGCGCTTGTACGTGCATAAAGCTAAGAAGAGGGGCGTGGCCAGACGAGTTTTCTCATGTTGGGATCAGCTCTTTTTCCTTATCACCTCTCCCTCATTATTCGGAATGAGAGAGCTAGTAGTGGAGCAACTGCACCGTCATGTAGCACTTAAAAATGGAAATTAGGCGTTGCCATGGCCAGTGGGCGGGGCCGCGGCCCGTCGCGGATGGGTCGCGCTTCCCTCGTGTATTTCCTGAGCTGCGGAGGTAGTTCATCCTCTATGATTGCGGACATAATTACCATGTCCAAAGAAGGCAGCTGAACATCAAGTGAACGCGGTACGTAGCTTTCTGGGCTATCGTAGCTCCTCTCATCGCACATTATCTGCTCGCTCTGTTTATGAACATTCCACATGGCTTTATGAAAGGTATTACTTTTAAAGTAGGGTTGAATGTGATCGTTCCAATCCGAAAATGTCATATTTCCGCTGTCGCTCTCTAGCGAGAAGCTTTCAGACCAAGTTCACCGCTGTATTCGATTTACTTCTACGTGGCAACGACGTCCTAAAACATATCGATGCAGGAACATGCTTCATCCCTGGACCACTCTTTGCCCGGAGGGCTATTGGTTATGGTGAGTAGCAAATATTTCAGTGTGTTCTATTCTGAGAAACACAACGTTCTGAAATCAGCGCCCCTCGCTGAAGAGCACAATTATAGAATATCTGTACATGTTTAGTTTCCGTCCCAGGACAACCTGCGAAGCGGAAACTTTACTATCTCTTTCAATCCCCGCGTCAAAATTTCATTGGATATTTGTCTGGCTACTAATAATGGCCAATGAATCGTTAACCCTACCAACAAATGCT